GGGGCAGGAGCAGACGCGGTCGCGGGGGACGACAGTTGCACGCGCGCGCCTGGGCGCGTGGGGGAGGGGCGCGCGCGCCGGCGCGGCGTGGGGGGGCACCTCACGCGTGAGGCCCGCGCGCGAGCGAGCCTGCGGGCTGCGCATGCCCGGCCGCTGATTGGCCGGCTCCGGCGATGCGGGTGCGCGCGCGGTGCCAGGCCCGAGCCGTGGGGTCGCGCTTGGCCTGGTGTCTCCGGGGCTCGTGCGCCCGGGCAGCAGACGCGCCGGATTGGTCGGCGGGCGGCGGGGGCGGTGCCGCGCTGCCTGGTAACTGCGGGCCGGCGGGCGGGCCCCGGAGCACCGCCCCGCCTCGCCGCTGCCCCTGCCCGCCCCTACCCGCGCCCAGGTGGAGCCCGGAGTGGGCTTTGTCCCCGGCCCGGCCGGCGCGCCTGCCCCGCGGGGCCTGCTCTTTTGGGGAAATAAACACAATGACCGGAAGGAAAACCTCAGCCTGCGGGCTGTGAAAATATGCCGTCTGGATTCTGCCAGCACCCGGTCGGGGGTTCAGGGAAGAAGACATAAAACTGCCCTCTTTCCCCGCTACTTGTGCTTATCCAAGTTTTGCCTTTTAATAGCGAGTTTCTTTTTTGTGTTTAATGTTACGGTTTTGCGCTCATTTGCGTCTGAGAATGTTCAGATGTTGGGTCCTGTTGGTGTGGTGCTCACTCCTCGGAATGCGGGGCTCCGGGCAGACTTCTCACCTTCCTGCATTCAACTTTGCTGCAGACAATGCCTTGATGGTCCACTGCATAAAAGTGGTCTTCGGGAGTTCAGGAAACAAAAGGGGAAGTTTGCAAATGAGAGTGCCCTGAGGAGGCCGGGTGTTCCCCCCGCACTCCTCCCCGCTAAGCCCTAGGATTTGGGATATCCGATTTTATTTCCTACTACATATTTTTGCTTTGTCCGTTTTCCAGCCACTGTAGTCTACTGCCTTGCACTTTAGTTTCTCCCGCTTCTTGGGATCTTGGCTCACACCTGTAGGCTGGAATGACTTTTTCTTCGCTTGAGGCTGTGGAACTCTTTTGCTCACATGCAGTTACTTTAGAGCCATATCTTATAACTTTGGGTCAGAATTTGTTGCTTCTTCATACAATCAGCTTGTTTGCCGCTCCTAGGCTGGCGTCTTTACTTCCTCTTGGAGTGTGTTTGGTTATGCTTTGTATACACGTGTCTGACCTAGACACTAGGTATTAAACTCCTGGAGCGGGTAGGGATTAAGCCTTTTCCGTCTTTGTCTTTCTCCCCCTTCCAGTCTACAGCCGTCAAAGTGCTTTGTTTATATTAGTAGCGACAGCTAACGCTTGAATAATGTTTATATGCCTGGCATCGCTCTTAAGCACTTAAGGTATGTTTTTCTTATTTAATATTCATAACAACCCCGTTCCTATAGATGAGGAACAAGACTAGAGAAGCTGTGTAATTACCTCTTGGTTACCCAGCAAGTAAACCTTGAATCGAAGATTTGAACCTAGGCAGTATGACTCTTCACCCCTAAGCCAAGTGGTTCTGAAAACCCAAGCAAGCATCATCCTCCCCTGGAGGGCTTGTTAAAACACAATAGCTGGGTCCCACCCCAGACATTCTGATTCTGCAGGTCTGGGGTGGGGCCGGAAATTTTGCGTTTCTAACGAGTTCCCAGGTGCTGCTGCCGCTCCCAGGACAGACGCTTTGAGAGCTGTTCACTACCAGAGGAAGTTAAGTTCTGAGGGAAGTTTATTCTAGATGCTTGCTCTTCATTACTTTAAAATGAGATCTTAAAGAACCAAAAGTAATTCGTACTGCTTACTGTAGATTGCTTGGAAAACAGAGTTAAGAATTTTTCTTAGTGTTGGTTACAAAATTAAAGTTTAACAGGTCTCCAGTTTAAAAAGGAGCCATGGATTTGAGTACAGAATACAATTAGAAATCTAATCTTGGCTTTTTTTCCCCTCTCATTCATTTATTTTTTCATGGCACAGGCATTTATGTCTTTCAAGTGATGCCTAAAGCATCCTATCCCCACCAGAGTCTAAAGATAGGGCCTGAGCTTGGAACTGAGGGAGGTAGGCTGGGCCAGGCCGGGGCAGGCAGAGCAGCTGGGGCTCCCTAACTCCACCCTCCCGCCAGTTCCATACCCCAGTGATTTGGCTAACTTTTAAGAAAATGGCTACAAAGACTTTGTCATTAAAATGTAGGCTTTGGGCTTCTTTTTCTTGGGGCACAAGTCTTGGTGAGAATGATTTTTAGTTTTTTTGGTATAATGGATTTCTTTCTGAGGAAAGTAAGTATGCTCAAATCAGGTAGGAGTGGGATTAGCTTACGGTAATCTATCACTTTAAAATTTTTATTTATTTATTTTTTGGCTAAGTTGGGTCTTCGTTGTGGTGCGTAGCCTCTCATTGCGGTGGCTTCTCTTGTGGGGCACGGCTCTAGGTGCGCGAGCTTCAGTAGTTGCAGTAGGCGGGCTCTAGGGCGCGCGTGGTTTCAGTCGTTGTGGCACGCGGGCTTAGTTGTTTCACGGCATGTGATCCTGGACCAGGGATCGAACCCATGTCCCCTGAATTGGCAGGTGGATTCTTAACCCCTGCGCTACCAGGGAAGTCTCTCATATCATTTTTTTGATGATCCATAGATCAGTGGTGTGTTCCAAAACATAAAATATAAGAGACAAGGTCCCCGCTCCATGTTATTATCTAAAGGAGCAGTAAATAAAACACTTAAGCTTTTCTGTTATTACTGGTGTGTAGCTATTTGCATTGCATTCTACCTAATTCATTTCTACCATTGTTTCTTTCTTCATTGAAAACATGAATTTTTAAAATATTGCAGTCCTCTTCATATAACTGCTGTGGTATAATTAACATGAACTTGTCTTAATCACTGGCTTAAACAGATGCGGGTAAGTAATTTTTATGTATGTCTAAGGGAAAGCATTTTTTGAAGAGTTGTTTGAGAAGTAATACCCTTTGAGCATGGTATTTCACTTTTCCCAATATGCATTAGAGGTAATCTACCTGAAAGATAAAAACCATGAATTTTATTAATAGCAGTTTACCAAAGGTCATTGGTACCATTTTTCTTCAAAAGTTGTCTACATTTATTTGGATTAAGCTTATTCATTGTTACTAACTGAAAGAAAGTAGGAAATGCAGTTAATCAGTTGTTCATTATAATTGTAGAGTTGAGTTTCCTTGTAATCAATGGGCTTTAAATGGCAGCATAGCAATATGAACAATAAAATTTGGTTAAACAAAGTGTAACGGAGGCTACCTGCCTGGGAGAGTAAAATGAAGAATTAGTATTTTAGAGGATGTATTAAAAATTATGGGAAAATTACAGAAAAAATCATGTGGATAGATCAGAAGCGCTGAAGGTATTATCATAATATTCTTCATTTTCCATTCTTTCCTCTTTCTTCCTTTACCATTTTCCCTCTTTCTTGTCTTTCCTTTACTGGAATGCTCAATGACGCAGTTTCCCTGTTTTTTCTTTTTTCCTCTTTTCCTCTTTGTTTCTACAATCCTTGTCTTCATATCCCATGCCTGTCTCTGGAACTACTCCTTTGCTTTAAACACTTTGACCTAGTGGGAAAGTAAGAAAGTTCCATATAACCAGGGACTGTCAGAGTTGATGGCAGATTGACTCATGTTCCTTGGTTTAACTTGATGAAAAATTATAGAGGATTTTAAAAGAATTAGTTTATTTAAAAAGTAACTTGAGGCAAAATGAATTTATAATTGAGAGAGAGGGAGTATGGCTTAGTGGGTATAGACATAGGTTCTCTTTTTTTTAATATTTATTTGGTTGCGCTGGGTTTTAGTTGTGGTAGGCGGGCCCCTCAGTTGTGGCTCACCAGCTCCTTAGTTGCGGCACGCGTGTGGGATCTAGTTCCCTGACCAGGGATTGAACCCGGACCCCTGCATTGGGAGCATGGATTCTTATCCACGGCGCCACCAGGGAAGTCCCCTTATAGTGATTTTTTAAAAATTGTGGTAGGGACTTCCCTGGTAGTCCAGTGGTTAACACTCCACGCTTCCACTGCAGGGGCCGCGCACGCCATGTGGCATGGTCAAAAGAAAAAAAAAGTAGTAAAAAATTGGTAAAATATACATAACACAAAACTTAACACACAGTGTTAAGTGCACAGTTT